GTTTAATCATATTCTTATTTGAAATTCCTCCATTGAACCTCATTAGCTGTTGCCAACCCAGTTTTTCAATTTTAGGCCTGCTATTACAATAAAAGATGAAAAACACACATATTTAGGTACATACGTGAACTTTTACTGCTGTTTTATTGACCTTCTTTAGTAAGTTTCCAATGTTTTCATCTGAAGGTACCTACAGAGTTAATTATTCGAGAATTTTTCTTGTTTAGCTTATAAAATGAACAGAAAGAATTGTCCATATTTAGCAAAATAATTTTAATTTTTCGAGGCTCTCAATATCTTATTTCGTTGTAGTTTACATAACGCACTTAAGAAAACCTAGTAATTCGGATGTTTTTGCGAAATAACTGCTGATGTAATGCCATCCGAGGATTGTGACATAGTGTTAGGTGGACAGTCGGCAGTAAACGCTAAATCTGAGTTTCGTGCTGGTTGATATCGACCAACGGGTCCACCTGAAGTCTTGGGGGAACTGAAGCTCTGTTGGATGTGAACCTGCTTCTGTCAGCTTCACAGTCTGAAATGTTACCGGTAAGCTATTCAGGTCACCATGTGACGTTTGGTCGAACCCTATGGGGAATAGCAATCCCATCAAGATTGCAAGTGCACCTTGTCGTGCAGTGAAAACCGGTATGAGACAAATGTCCAGGGTTGTCTGTAAAATAACTCTGGTCACCTAACATATTAACGCAATGTATGAGATATCACGTTATTAGAACTATTGCCCACATTATATCTTGGTCGATGACATTTAATCAGTACTAAAAAGTTATATGAGCATGACATTGGTCGCCGCTCAGTGATCATCCTCCATATGTGGACTGATGTTGTGTTTGAAGTAAGGTGGGATATCACTGTTTTCATTAATGTTAGTTTTCAATCGTTTACATATAATTTGGAGTATCCGTTGATCCTACGTAATTTGTTTGATCAAAATTTTTTGACACAATGATTAATAATAATTCACTGTTTTTGATTGCATCATTCTTTCTTACCTCTGATAATTTGATGTTCTCATTTACCTATAAAGCGAATAGCTGGCTTAGTATGATTACATAAATTTGTGATAACTACATACTTTTTGTTGTGCATATACTCGTGTTATTGACTAGCATCTACAGTGTGCAGTGAAATTGATTTGATTAAGAATTGATTTCAGTGTAATTTAATCATATTTTGTCGATTGTATATAGTTTTCTTGAAGGATGTCTTATCTTTTGCTCTTCTAGGTCCCAGTCTTCCTTTCTGTTTTCACAGGAATCCGGGGTTTAGTGAACCTACCAGTAACTAGCTTACAGACAGGTGGTACTGCTTGGTTTACTGATTTAACAGCGTCCGATCCCTATTACATCCTACCGATTCTCTCCATGAGTACACTTCTATTGACACTTGAGGTAAAAGTATCATTTTTCACCTTTGTAAATATTCGTTTTTTGACGTTACTGATACCATTAACAGCCAATTAGGAATGAAGAGAGATATCAAAGGTGATAAGAGTCTGAAGATTGCAACTCTAACCAGTGTTGTAATTGCGTGTACATATTTATGGACATAAGTTGAAGTGTGATATGGTTTAGTGACCTAATTTTTAAGTACTTCACTTCCGTACTCATTTTCAGTTATGGACAAAGCTCTGTCGATTTTAACTTCGGTCGCTGGGTGTCATCACTATCTCCCTGCACACATACCAAACAGCGGACAGAAATTCCGTTGATCTACGTTTTTCTGCAATTTGACTAATCGTAATAAACTGGCTATTGATGCTGGCTGTTGTCACTTTGCCAATTGGCGAGAGTAAGATAATTCTTCCAGAAAAATTGCAATTTTATGTCACTGATATACACTTTCTGAAAATACTACTGAAATGCCTCAGAATATCTGTGTAAAGGAGCAACCTCTGCTTGATAAAACTTAGTATTTAAGAATGCCCGGTCAGGAGTTGATTTTGCTGAATGCATGTGCTGTTCATTTGCTTAGAATTTCTAAAATAATATCAGGCTCAATGATTATAAATAAATATATTCATTTATCTTCATATCATTGTGTATTATTAACTAAATAAATATTTTTTCATATGGATTGTTCGTTGTCATGTTAACCAATTTGATTCGGTTCAAGCCTTATGTGATTTAACAAAGTTCTTCGGTTTATTTGACATGAGTTTGTTTATTTTGGACATATGAATTCGAAGAATTCAAGTTACTGAACAGTCATCGTATATTATAGCCATCTGTATTGAAAATATCAATGTCTTACCACTATGCTATAGTATACATTTAATAGAATTAAGTCAAATCTCTATAAACATAGTATGATCAACATACCTCTGAGTTATCAAAATTAATAAAGTTAAATAGAAAGCAGTCTATGAAATGTTCGTGTTTATTCTTCATGAAGCTGTTTTTGTGGTCGACAAGTAGAGTAAGTGAATTGATCAAATATATAATTTCTCTCTTGCATACTTGAATGTCATTGAACTGAGAAAAATGAATCGACTCCACACGACTGCTTGTTGTCATTAGGATAAACTTTCGGGAAGCCACTGATCAAAACATCTGATTAGCAAAGTCCAATTTTCACTCTTAACTCATGACTTTCTACCTTCGTGGAGAAGTATTAACTTATTCAATAAACGCTTGATAAGCTTTTTGGTTGTAGTTGACAATTAAGGGTTGATTATTTATCAATCAAAGTGATAAAGGTGAATTGTTGACACCTTACGAAAACCAAATTGATAACATCCAATGGCGAAACTCAGTAGACTAAATGGATCAAAAATTAATCCCTATTAACTACAGTAAGTCAGAATGGTTTTGAATAAAATCACTTTACAGATTAGTAACCATGTAACCGTATTATTTATCCAGATTGCTGACTATATATTTCTGATCCGTAACTTGCTAAATAATAAGACGGTAGACTGACTTTATGGGCAAATTACGTGTTTATTTTCACGACAGACTTAAAAATTATCTGTTTTGGAGATTAAGTATTCATGGAGAACAAAAGGTAAAAAACGTTTAGCTCTTCTTTATCTGTACATTAAATATTTAATTTGTGTTTATTTGTTTAGACCAGTGCTGGAATGAGTTCGCAACAGACACAAACAATCCAGGCTTTCTTGAGAGTGCTCCCCGCTATTGGTTTCGTCTTTGTAATGAACATGCCGTCGGTAAGACATTTCCTTCAGACCTCTTTTTGTTTAACTGTCCTAAGCTTTAAAGTTAAACGCTGTATATTGTGATAATGTTTAGCTTACTGTTAAAACCATTTTTTGGAACTTCTTACTTCTGATAGGCCTGCTGACTGAACTGTCGATCCGATTTCCTAGCCACTTCTATCGGCCCCCGACTAAATCGACACGACAACTTCAATACAAGATAAAAGCTGCACTGTGCTAAAGCCAAAAGCTTGTGATAAGTATTTATTTGATTTCTAAAACAGATCGAAACGATTTATGAATACACTGTTCACATGATTTATTTATTGTTAGATTAACTCGGACTTGTATAAATTAAACTGAGTTTTATTTAGCAATAATTATTCAACGACTTGTTGCGTGAACAAGTTTACCATGTTATATAAATAGGCATCTATAATCCCTCTTAAGGTGTGAGTGCCCTTCACAAACGATTCGAAAGTATCGATTTCATATCAATTGGATTCCATTTGATTCAGCCATTGCTCTCTATGTCAACCTTATGCCGAAATGTATATGCAGAATGATATCTAGTAATTCTCAAGTTATCTTCGTATTTTCCAAAGGATGATGATTGAAAGCTTTGTCATCTGAATACATTTTTTTGTATAAAAATTTAAAATGGTATGTGAAATTTCTCATTTCTAATGTACGGTAAGTTGTACGCGAATGTCTACATTTGGGCCCTGTTATATGACAAGTTTATCACCACCTCTTAACTATATATATACCGACTTTACTTGTTTTCCAAGTATAATTAGCTGTCTTATATCCATCGACTGGTTTATTTGAAACTGCTTCTATTAACGGTCGGTTATTTATTGACAAAATACCAGTAGAAGTTGTAAAAAAACCTGTTTTTTTCAATAAATGCACAGTTGTTTGACTCAGTAATTCGTTGCGCACTCATTTCAAGTGATAGGCACTAAAAACATAAGTTAGGATCAGATTAGTATCTTCGTGTCATCAAACGTGATGCTTAAGCCGTGCGTGTATTGACTCAATTTAGAAACTCTTAGCCGTCAATTGATCTCTCTTGGATCCAACGTTTTCCCTCCCCTACCATCTTTGATCCAGTCAACCGTTAACACTTATGTATCAGACGCAACTCTATGTATACAGGAATACAAACTTGGTTTTGGGGTCATATAAAAGTAACAGATCTGGCAATGGCTATTTAGTCATCCCCATAAATAGAATTCTCCAACATTATTACCGTATGAAATTGATTCTGTATGCATCAATAACGATTCGCATAAGTTGTCTTCTTGACAGCAAACTGATTTCCGACTAGTTGGGTAATTGCTTGCAAAGATACGGAGATTGTATAAAATTAAAATGAATAAACGGATACCTGGATCTAACTGCATTGATTTGCAGAATTATAAAACCGAAAAATTCAGAACAGTAATCGTTTCAAATAACGTAAATGAAACTCCAAATTGAAGAAAGTGCTGGAAAATCAGTACAACCAATGCGATTTTAAGACGTTTGTAGGCGTTATTGCCTACTCGGACATCCGATGCAAACAGAAATTACAGAAAATATCTCTTAGCTCCATCATTTTGTTTTGAAAAATATATTATAATTTCTATTCTAACAGGCTTTGGTATGGTATTGGAGTGTTAGCAACATGGTTTCTCTTCTTCAGTCATTAATTCTACGTCAATCACGTGTTCGTTCTTATTTAAACTTCCCTTCTATTCAAGCACCTCCTGCAGCAATAAAAAAGAAACGTGGTTTTGTTGCAGGATTCAAAGAATGTAAGTCGACAACCATTAGTGACTACTTTTTATTTAACTTGGACCATCCCGCTTGTATAATGACGTATGATAATATAAAAGCTACTGTGTTTTATCTAGAACGTTCACCGTGATATACTAATTGTTATTCCAACTATCTTGTGTAAAAAAACTGTATAGAAAACAAATTTATTTATTTAATTTAATTTAAGTTCGACAAAAATCTTATGCTCTATTTATTTACCAAATGCGCCATAAATTGTATGAGTTTTAAACGCTTGTTTTTAAATGTGAAGTTGTAGCATCTGCTAACTGGGCAGTAATCCCCATTTTTACAAACGTTGATTTTTATTGGTGAGTTCAACTTAGTTGGGTGAAATTGAAGAACTCGTCTTTGGATATTTTAACTAGTCATCACAAAGCTTGGATTACATTTGTTAATGGATTTTCTACCGTAGCAGTTCAAATGGTTTCCAGCAAGTGCAATTCCAACGCGTTATCTCCCAATCCAATGTCAAAATTACAATAATTCTAGGAGAAAACGGTCTATATTATATTAAAAAATGGAAATACAATTCAATACCTGAATTTGATGCACCTTTCAAGTCACAATTACTCCGAGGAGTATCCAAGTTAAAGGGGAATAAGTGACGTTAAGTCCAACCGCCACAGTATCAATCCAAATATGGCTGTAGCCATATTAAAGATCAAATTTAAACAACATATATACAGTTCAGAAGCAAACATAAAAACCTCAATATAAGTACAAAATATAAAATCATAACAATATACAATGATAAAATCTCAAATTGGAATCAATTAAAATACCAAAATGTCAACAGAAAAAGTCCGTCATGTCATAACAAAAATATGTAAACATGGAGGGATTTTCCAAAAAACAAAACATTCAAAAAGGATTCTACAATATTCACTAACGCTTAGTCTTCTGATGTTGCCGATCATTTAGGAATTCGTTAAATGTCACCATTCTCTCTACGTCAATGCTTGCCTGCCACACTTTTCACTTCATTACTTATAAAAATTCATACTGTACTTAACGTTGTACCACACTCTCAATTTCAGTTGACTTGAGCGTTATTATAATAAATGGAACAAGCCTTTTAATTGCAATCATTTTCTTAAAATAGCAAATAAGTGTACGGTTGCTCGTCTAGATGATCAAATTTATTTCTTGTTCTTGAAAATGTTCACCATACTTTGTCAAATGGTGTACTGAACTTAGAGTAACTTTTATTGTCCCGTTCAAAATGTGACTAATGGGTGGGTGTATATTCTTCTGTACCCTATGTGAAATTAGTATTTCTAACTATATTACTAATAAGTAACTAATGTTTTATCTCTCTCAAGTTTCACTGGTCATTTGTAATTCAAGCGCCGCATCATCATTTTGTCTTGGTTAGGGTTTCTCGGCAGACCGCGTCTACAACCTCATCAGGGATTGGAACTAGACACTCGTATCTCAGTGTGAATATTTAAACTGTAGATTATGCTGATAGCATCCACCTGCTTGTACGCCTGACTGTGATCAGTTCGGGATATTGTGCAGTCATCTTCAAGTATCATAGGCGGGTGAATTCTTCCCGAAGCCCGCTTTAGTAATAATCATGTGCTCGATAGCGAACAACTGTGAGTCCTAGTTAGAAGCGTTGACCAGTAGGGTTCAATCATATCGAGTGTTAGGCAGTCATCCACGAAGATGACTACGCAATGTCACGAATCGGTCAAGGTTGAATATATGGACCGCCAGATATCACCTAAAAGTTCTAGAGGTTTATGACCTGCTTTAAGACTTGAATGACTGGATCGTAAGTGCATACTGTTTGGAATTCGTATACCAGGACAAAGAGGCTATCCAGTGCTTCCTGGTTTTCAGAGATTGTCTAACTAGTACCGGTTCATGATTTTAACTATGAAATCCAACAATCTCTACAAATCCCCGGCAGTACATTTTATCCGTCTGACAATATCAAATCGACCACTTTTGCCCTTGTCTTTGTTGAGTTTTGTTTTCAGTGAACTAAGAAAATAATATTGTCATTTTCTTGACGTTCTATAGTTTGGGTCCGATGGCTTCACGAAAATGATGATAAAAATGTCCAGTCGTCAAGTATCCTTTAATCGATTAATTTATCTGGTGTAGAGTTAGCGTACTTATCAAGTAGGAAACTATTGTTTGTAGGAGATACTCTGTGTGTTATTAGCATAAATCATAACTCTAACACTTCTATGCAGTTGGGAAGAATTGTATGATGGATAGTATACCAGTTATTTGCTATTATTGATTCGACATATGGAATATACTTGTTCGACTAAATGATCTCTGTACAGTGACAATAGAAATAAGAATAGGCTTCCGTGTTATAAGATTTATACTAGTAACCTCCGGGTAGAAATCAAACACACTACCCAGTAATTGATGCGAAAATCGGACCATGTTATCACTTATATTTTGCACCAGATTAAGCACTTTAACTCGATTGCCCAAGTTATGACAAACCAGAGCCTAATATAGTTTAAAGCGAATTGAGTAATCATCCTTTAAATTTTTAGTCTTTAGTCTAGAACCTATGGAAACCTACTAAACTTTTTGCCGAGAAATCAACCGTAGTATGTCATAAACTTGTTGCGATATTTCCTATAAATAATATGATATCCTCGTTTGTTAATCAAGCAAATACAAAAATAACGACAGAATAATCAGAATAAATTAGTCAAAACAGGCATTGTATGAAAACCTTTATTACTGCTACTTTTATTGCGTATTTGTACAGTAAATCTCAAGTTGGTGTCGATTTCGGGTTTTATCTGAATTCGTCTCAAAGTACTGAGACGGAGTTTGAATTTTCGAACTACCCCCGTCCACGCACTTTGGTTTATGCAACCGGATAGTATCACTAACCTTCACCAAGCAAACGAAGCTGCAGTAGGTCAGTCGAGTGAAGATATCAATGAATGCTGGATAAGAAATCTGTTGCAACTTCACTTAGGTGGCCTAGCGGTAAATTGTACTGCTCTACATTTACAAATTATTGGTTATACTGCTCGTACAAAACCCGGCAATAAACTCATTTAGAACTGCATGTTATCAATCACTGAGTATTAGTAATGTGGACGTCCTATTGTTTGTTTTGCTCATGATCAATTTCAAATACTTCATACATCTTTTCTAATCGCAGTAATTTTGTTTCATTTCTTAAAGCGCTAAATAATTCACGTTTGTTAGCGGAGTTGGATTCAAGAGAACGAATAGGTGCGAAGGCTTGGCAAAAGTCTGGTCACAAGGCTCCACCTGTTACATTTATTTCTGATCCGACTAAACTTACATCGAGTCTTGAAACCTTAAGCTCTCGAAACAAAACAACAAACAGTGGATCACGAGTACAGTTAAAAGGTAAAACTAGCCTTAGTGGGTAGTTATGTATTTTAGCTTTTTATTTTTCATGACCTTAAATATTGCCACAGTTTTTACAAAATAGTACGATGATACAATTATTGTTGCAAATGAGTGTTATAACAAATGTTTCCGTTTCACCGATTGGATATCGAGCCGGTATGATAAATAGTATGAACTAAGCAAATGTGCCTTATCAAAAACCCCGTGAAGCACGATCAGTAGTTACTGTCATTTAATCTAAGCTTCGTTTCATGAAACCAGGAGAGTTTTTTACACTTACTTAAAAAGACCAATTTATTTAGAAAAGGTTTTTACCCATATTCGCAATTTTAGTGTTACGGAATTTGTAGAATAGTGTGTAGACTGATATGAAAACACAAAGATCGGTAGGAAAAAGAGGAAATAAAGTATGATCTATTCTATGACATAGGCCTTTTAAAAGAATACAAAACTAATCGAAGGTTGTTTCTATGTTATGATACTAACTATGATGATGGAACGAAATTCGAACTTTACAAATAAAATAGTCACGCAACTGCAGCTACAAACGTCTACATTTTTGTTAACAGAATATTAAGTGTGGTAATTTGACAAACGATTTAGTGATTAGACTATGAATTACTAAATTTTAAGCATTTTAGTGTATGAGGAATAATGCAATGGTAACCAACAGAAATATCATAAATTGTCGAATATGAACCTGTAATTTGGCATAGTTTGATCTATATATTTATTTTGAGTCCTTCAATGAGAAACACCCTAGAAAAATCCGGATGATCGCCAAATATAAATATTCCATCTTCAATTACCAAGAACTGAGCTAGTTAGATTATCTAAAATACTTTATCCACATGGGTTTTCCTAGCATTCGAGTTTTAAACTAACATTTTGGTTTTCTAAGTAATACTTGGACAGTATTTTCGAGCTTATGGACTCAGTTAGAAGGCATGCGAACCACTGTACATGCCATCATTTTACTCACCCAATTAATCTCGAAGAACTAATAACAGTAATTGCTTGTCCCAATATACATAGTATTCACCTGCAGCTAGTTAATACCAACCTTAGTTACACAAAAAGTTAAACCCAATCACTGGCATTCAGAAAGTGGTTTATATAGAGAAAAGTAGTAGATTATTATTATAGAGCAACGGTATATCGTTGTAGGTCTACTTGGAGTAAATATATTAACCCATACGAATCAAATTTGGGCACGTAATCCAAGGTTAACAGTTGAAAAACATTAAGGAATTTAGGCTGATCAAATGGTTAATCTTTATGTTCTAGGCAATTAAGTATATACTTAGTGGAACATGATGGTAAATTACACAATGCAATTAACAGAGGTTAAACGAGATCTACCGTGAAAGCAAAGTGAACGGAGCTAATCGCTAGACTACCCTATCTTGTTTGGGCTTAAATAAAATGGATACTCTAGATTTCGAGCACCGCGTGGGTTATGTGGGTTTGGCTGACCTATTAGGTGTGAGTATCCTTCGTTTGCTCCGTTTCTTTATCTGCTCCACGATGAACGATCAAGCAGTGCTCTGGGTATAGATATACGATTGCCTCGTCGCTTTTTTTTCTATTCTCCTTTCTCATACATCCATCATCAATGGAACAACCATGGTACTTCTACACAAAATGCAGCTTACATGTGTACTCATCAAGATTACTGCTTATATAAAGGGCCTTACGTTCTTCACTTTCTAATACATTCACATCAGAATTTAGCGTCCCACTCAAAAAGCCTATTGGGTAACTAACCTTTTTGTAATCACGTATTGAAAGTATATCTGTATCAAGCTGTTCCTGTCAGTTACATGTCATAAACTTGCTTTCAGAAACGGACTCTCATAGTTAATCTAGCCATGCAAACTTTTGCAGTTAATGTAGTAGCATTGCGCCAATTTGGTTGTACCTGTACATTGGCATGCCTTTGCAGTACGTTCACGAATGAAACGAAATCTGTAAAATGGAAATAATAATAATAATAACAAACTGTACTAGTGATTGTTTTATTACACTCCTTTGTTTAACGGTACTAAAAACCATAATTACAGCGTCACGTGTCACTGAAATTTCTCAGTCGTCTCGGTGGTTGCTTCTTCTCTTCCTTAGGTATTCACGATATCTTTTCGATATCGCGAGATCATCAATACATATACCTCGACCTCCAGTCACATCTGGTCTTCTGATTTTTGGCTGTAACGGGGTCTAACTTAGTTATCTCGTGATAAGTAGTCTTGATAGGTTACAATTGTAGAATCTATTTCGACGGCGGCTGTCCTAATCGCGTCCAATAGAAACACTCCTGTACGATACTCCTAGATCCAGGTTCCAGCCAAATCAAAAGGTCAAATTTTCTAGGAGAAAACGTCTCTATATTGTTATAAAATGGAAATACAGAGGCTTACGGTATTTTTGTTTCGTCCAGGACTAAATTACTCCGTAGAGTATCTATTACAATAGCTAGTAAGTGACACTAAGTCCAGCAGCCACCGCGTCTATCCAAAAATGTGGCGGTAGCCATATTATATCAAATTTAAACAATATATGTACAGTTCAAAGGCAAACACAAAAACTTCAATATAAGTACAAAATATGGAAAGAATAACAACATACAATGGTAAAATCTCAAATTGGAATCAAATAAAATACCAAAAATGTCAAGAGAAAAGGTCCATCAGGTCATAGCAAAAATATGTAAACATGGAGGGATTTTCCAAAACACAAAACATTCAAAAAGAATTCTACACCGGCCCGCAAAATCCCTCCATGCAAAAACAGCAAGCGTTAATGACACCTTATTTAGGGTTCCCATGTTATCCCCTAATCCACACCGGAATAACGTGTAGGACTTACAGCAGTACGCCTACCCGCCATCCAATATGGATATGACCTGTCGTGTTAACTAGGTTCCTATACTTTCCCATCAGGCCCTTGATTCCCCTATCTATCGTGGAATGACCTAACGGTAGTATAAACCTTACCCAATTAACCCATACGAACATGAACAACGCGTCGCAAAACTGGTCATATCCTATCCAAGGACTACATTCTCTATCGTGGGGACGAGTCGCCAATCCACCACCACTTGCTCTGATCAGCAGATACCATGAAGTCCGTGATGCTAACTTATCAACAGAAGTTTTTGACCCATAAATAATATGCAAGGGTGGGATCTCCAATTTTGACATTTCATCGTCTCCAGAAGACCTCAAGTAGCATGACGTAGGATCAATATTTATCCTTCCATCTCCTGATGCGGAGGAGGTTTGAACAGTGTTCATCATCGTCGGTAACTCATTTGTCACATCAGTGACATCCAGTTTATTATCAACGTCTAAATGATTCCGTTCTACATTAGCATCCGTTTCCGCGGCACAAGACATATGCTCAACAATAGCATCGTCATCACACAGCACTGTAGACTGGCTGTTACCATCAATCACTTTCTTCTCATCATCACTCGACTGACAGTCAACCGTAATAGGAACAGTTACAGTTGCACAACCTTGTGCATCTTCAATCAACTTAACCTTCGTGACGAGGTCCGATGGCGTCGAAACACTAGGAGGCTCATTCGATGAAGTTGACAAACTAGTCCCTATAAGTGAACTGCTGACACTTTCTATCTCCTCCTTATCACTGTCACTACCAAGGTTCTGATGGCTACTATTTCCATAGCTAGTCGTAGCATCCGAAAGAGCATGAGGTTCAGGCTTCTTAGTAATAGTAGCATCATGTCTCCTAGGCTTCTTAGCCGTTACTGTACCACCATCACTTATCCTAGAGTCTACTCTAGGTCCAGTTATATAATTTACCCTAACTGAAGGGTTCCGAAAATAAGCTTTATTCCGTTCATTCAATCCGGCCTGAGCCTTATTCATATTTGCTGAACTCACTAACCTCCGATTACTCGAATCCAAATTACCGTTCCAGGCTTTTCGAGCAGCTAAGAGGCTTTTATCATCACACACTTCGGATCCATCTTGATGCCTACACTTTTCACCTTTTTCTTTCTTTTCTACACTTAGAAAAGCCATCTTATCTGTTACATCAACCGGCTTCTTGCTAGGACACGCATCAAGAGGCTTTACATCGTTACGGTCACATACTCGTCCTTCATCAGCGTATGCTTTCGTGATATAATTGACAAATCTCTTATCTTCCGAGCGTGCTTTAGGTAGAAACGAAAAATCCGAATGTCTCGCACGCAGACCACTAGTAGCTTCCGTATTATTTCCTGTTTTAGCCTGATAAGCTAATCTTCCAAACCTACTACTAGCTATCTTAGCACGAGACATAATGAATTCCGTCAATTCGTTAAAATTGGGCTCTCTCTCCTCTTCGTCCCACTTGAATACTAGCTCTGCCCACTGGGCTTGCATTCGACGAGGTAAGAGCCTTACTATTCGTTCTAAAGTAGCCATAGAGTTAAGTTCAGCTGTACAATTTAACTGTTCTAAAGTTAAAGCAGCATTCTGCATTTTAATGGCCAAGTTCTTCAATGATTCAGGATCATTAAATTCTACATTCCCAGTTCTAAATAAGTCCTCTAAGGTTTCTCGCGCTATTACATGCGTCTGTCCAAAGAGCTGTTTTAGAATGGCCTTAGCTCTCTTATATCCTGATTGTGGATCCATAATAATACAACCTTCAATCGCATTTTTTGCTTTTCCCTTACAATAATGAATTAAATACAATAAACGCACTTGATCATCCTTGATTCGAGGTTCTATAAACGTCTCTATCTGTCGTATGAACTTAAAATAGTCGCGAGACCTTCCATCAAAATATGAAAGCTCAACCTTAGGTAATTCTAAACCCTCTATCGATGACTTACAATAATAAATATCAGACATAACATGTGGGTTACCCATAAAAAGGTTATCATCAACGACTTGCCTAGAGCCCTGTGATCCGTCGAGCTCTTCCACCCTCCTCATGTGTGATTTTCTTCGGTTTGACATCATAAATAAAGTTCAATAAAG